TTGTATTTCTGCACTACTGAATGTTTGAGTGAATTCGTTGTATTTCTGCACTACTGAATGTTTGAGTGAATTCGTTGTATTTCTGCACTACTGAATGTTTGAGTGAATTCGTTGTATTTCTGCACTACTGAATGCTTGAGTGAATTCGTTGTATTTCTGCACTACTGAATGCTTGAGTGTATTCGTTGTATTTCTGCACTACTGAATGTTTGAGTGAACTTATTGTATTTCTGCACCTGCAAATGTTTTAACAACAGTGTCCAATCAGCCAGAAATTGACTGACGAGTCACAGACCAGTTCATGTATTGACGCTGATGGAAAAACAAGATGACTGAAATATTATCACTGACGCAGTCAACTAAACATTAATCAAATAATTCGGCCCGTAGGCTAGCGTCGGAATACTGGACTGAAGTAGAAATAAGTATCATGAATACTTCTCAACACATGTGTGGCCTTTTCTCTTCCTCACACACAGACATACACACAGAGACATACAGATACACACACATACAGAGAGACATACAGACACTCAGATAGATACACAAACACACACACATACATACACAGACACATGCATAGACACATAAACACACACACAGGCATACACAGACAGACACTCATAAACACATACAGACACACACAGAAAGACACACAGATAGTCACACAAACACACACACAAACACACGTCTACCGAGTCAGACCCGGAGCGTGCTGTAAACAAACAAATCAAATGTCTTGTCACTACATTGTTAGGGGACTTAACCCAACGTGCAAGTCGGAGGTGGTCGTTGGGTTTTATTTGCAAAACGTCATCTAACTTCCTGCTCCAGAATTTTAGGCAAGAGCTCCGAGTTCATGAGTTTGTTCATGTGTTTGCTCCTGGGTTTGTTCTTGGGTTTGTCCTTATGTATGTTTCTGTGTTTATTCCTGTTTTTAAAGGTTTGTACCTGGGTTTGTTCAAGGGTTTGTAAATGTGTGTGTTCATGGGTTTGTTCATGTGTGTGTTCATGGATTTGTGAATGTGTGTGTTCATGGGTTTGTGAATGTGTGTGTTCATGTGTTTGTTCATGTGTGTGTATATGGGTTTGTGAATGTGTGTGTTCATGGGTTTGTGAATGTGTGTGTGTGTGTTCATGGGTTTGTGAATGTGTGTAATCATGGGTTTGTGAATGTGTGTGTTCATGGGTTTGTAAATGTGTGTTCATGGATTTGTTCATGTGTATGTTCATGGGTTTGTAAATGTGTGTGTTCATGGGTTTGTTCATGTGTGTGTTCATGGGTTTGTTCATGTGTGTGTTCATGGGCTTGTGAATGTGTGTGTTCATGGGTTTGTGAATGTGTGTGTTCATGGGTTTGTAAATGTGTGTGTTCATGGGTTTGTAAATGTGTGTGTATTGATGGCTTGTTCGCTGAGATATCCAGAAATGTATGTGAGATGATTGTTGATATTCTTTGGTAGTCGATGGTGAAATATTTTGAAATATGTCGGGGTTTAAATATGTTGGGGTTTAAATATGTTGGGGTTTAAATATGTTGGGGTTTAAATATGTTGGGGTTTAAATATGTTGGGGTTTAAATATGTTGGGGTTTAAATATGTTGGGGTTTAAATATGTTGGGGTTTAAATATGTTGGGGTTTAAATATGTTGGGGTTTAAATATGTCGTGGTTTAAATATGCCAATGTTAAAATACATTCTATCATCTCTGGTTAAACATATCATATTCCAACATCTCTGGTTAAACCTATGATACTTTATCCCCTCTGGTTAAACTCTCCTGTTGCTTATATTATTTTTACATTGCCCGCCATAATTAACGTCTCGGCCTGAACTGTAAACTGTACATTCTGCTGTAGGCAAATACAGACCAGACTTTTATTCCAGCTACATCAATAATAATTTCAGGTCTTAATTTAGATTGCCATGGCTAATGACGTCATTCTATAGCTTTAGACATTGGTGCTAACATGACTAGGAAGAGAAGTTACGATACAACATTCTACTTATAATATCTAACACGAACATTTAGCTAAACAACCGGGCAATCTAGCTGAAGCCAGCCTCGATTAAAGATCTACTAGCTTAAGCCAACTTTCTTAAGACACCATCTAGCTAATCCTAAAATAAGCTGTAGCCATTTAAGTTCTGAAACAAGGAGAATCGACTAGCTAAAGTCAGAAGAACTAACTGGCTGAAACCAATTAGCTGAAGCTAGAAGAACAAACTAGCTGAAACCATGGCTAAATACAATGTTGACTTATAAACGTTCTATGGACGATCACTCCCATTATAAACCAGCAGTAAAAAAACAAACCTGTCTATCAACCGGCACCGCGGTTTAGCTTGATAATACTCCCGCAAATTGTGCGCCATTTTTAAATTTCATTTTAGCATTATTCATAACCGCATTTTATTTTTATTTATTGAAAAGCATTTTTACTTAATTAACATTTTTTTTGCGGGTGTCTCCGTCCAGCGGGAGTCGTAAATCAAATCTGAAATATTTTTAAAAATTCCATTTCGCGTCCATATCTCTCCACACTCCAGTACCCTTGAATACACTCCAGCATGCGCTTTTAATCCAATCCAGTTTTTTTTTTTACACAGAAATTATAACCTGTTTAATTTTGCAAGCAAAATGCGAGGGAGGCAAATTTAATAACGCTCACAATTTTATTACTATGCCACGGGTAATGTTGTTTAGGACTTGGAGAAATTTTTACAGACGAGGAATAATAAATGTATTCGCCAGTAAATAATTTCATTTTAGGTTTTTTTCGATGGTTTTATTTTATTTGTTTGGGTTGAGTTATTGCCCCTTGGGAACTTGTGCCTAGAAATGAATGTCGCAATGTGGTGTAACGCTAGGGATTATTTTGTTTTCTTTTTGCAAATATGAGATCAGCAAAATTTTAATGCGTGATTTACGTCAACGGTTAAGTCACGTGATTAGCTATGGTTCTGTGACGTCCTTAACTATCGAGGAAGGTCGGGGAAGTCTAAAACTGATTTGTTGATGGCCTTGAGAAGTGGTTAGGTCATGTCCTTAAGTATATAACTGGTTTGTAATGTCCTTAAGCAAACAACTGTTTGGTAATTACCTTGAATTTAAAACTGTTCTGGCGATGTCTTTTAACTTAATTAAAACTTACATTTCCTTGAGAAACACTCAATTAAATACGATCAAAACATCTTGGTCAGATTTTTTAGTTTGTTTACTCCGCCTATTAATATGACTGACAGAAATGATGTCTAAAAAAACAAAACAAAATCGGCTGATAAATAAAATGTGGCCATAAATATTTATTCGCTGATTGTTACCCCGCGGGCTCCTGGTGTTTGAGTTTAAATGTGAGGGTGGGCGGGGGAGGAGGTGGTGGGGTGTAGACGTTGCTAAAAGATGTAAACATTAATCAAATTACCAGCTCGTTATTTCAAACAATGCTCGCAGTATTTGAGGAGACGATCTGGCCAGGTGGCCGAGAATTGAGGAAACACTCAAAGGCCACTGTCACATAGGCCACTGTCACATAGGCCACTGTCACATAGGCCACTGTCACATAGGCCACTGTCACAAAGGCCACTGTCACATAGGCCACTGTCACATAGGCCACTGTCACATAGGCCACTGTCACAAAGGCCACTGTCACATAGGCCACTGTCACAAAGGCCACTGTCACAAAGGCCACTGTCACATGGTAGGACACTGTCACATATGCCACTGTCACATAGGCCACTGTCACATGGTAGGACACTGTCACATATGCCACTGTCACATAGGACACTGTCACATATGCCACTGTCACATAGGCCACTGTCACATAGGCCACTGTCACATAGGCCACTGTCACATGGTAGGACACTGTCACAAAGGCCACTGTCACATAGGCCACTGTCACATGGTAGGACACTGTCACAAAGGCCACTGTCACATGGTAGGCCACTGTCACATATGCCACTGTCACATAGGACACTGTCACATATGCCACTGTCACATAGGCCACTGTCACATAGGCCACTGTCACATAGGCCACTGTCACATGGTAGGACACTGTCACAAAGGCCACTGTCACATAGGCCACTGTCACATGGTAGGACACTGTCACAAAGGCCACTGTCACATGGTAGGCCACTGTCACATATGCCACTGTCACATAGGACACTGTCACATATGCCACTGTCACATAGGCCACTGTCACATAGGCCACTGTCACATAGGCCACTGTCACATGGTAGGACACTGTCACAAAGGCCACTGTCACATAGGCCACTGTCACATGGTAGGACACTGTCACAAAGGCCACTGTCACATGGTAGGCCACTGTCACATATGCCACTGTCACATAGGACACTGTCACATATGCCACTGTCACATAGGCCACTGTCACATAGGCCACTGTCACATAGGCCACTGTCACATGGTAGGACACTGTCACAAAGGCCACTGTCACATAGGCCACTGTCACATGGTAGGCCACTGTCACATAGGCCACTGTCACAGGGTAGACCACTGTCACAGGGTAGGCCACTGTCACATGGTAGGCGACCATTAGTGAAGAGTGCAGTAACAGGTTTAAATTGGGATGGGTGGGGGTGACTAGTCTGTAGCTAGATCCCTTACAATCAAGTTTAGGGTCCCGCATTGTTATATTATTGCTGCAGCTAGTATATAGCTTGTTGTCAAATAAAGTCAGAGAGACATTGGACACTTTCCGTCTGTAATCGTGACGATTATTCCTGTGTGGGGTTACCATACTGGGCAACTTTGTTACAGTGAACCAGTGCTAGAGTTAGTTACTGGTTGGGGTTGTGTAGAGCAACACAACCATCCATGCTTTGTTATATAGAGTGGTAGGTCTACATCTAAACCAACTTCCATTGAATACATTTCGATAGTGTTTTTTTTTCTTCTTTAAAACCACTCAACAGTTTACAAAAACAACCCGACCGTTTACTTAATTCATTCAACCATTTCCCCCCCCCCCCCCGCCCCCCAGGTGCCATCCCCCCTGAAGGTTTCTTGGAGCTGCAGGAGTGTGACCTTGACCTTGATCAGTGCCTGTGGTACAACGCCGGGAGGGGCCGCGTCCGTTGGCAGCGTCACGAAGAGATCCTGTCAGCAGACTGGCACCACCCCCCTCCCCAGCAGTCAGCTGATCCTCCAGGTCTGATAGTTTGTCAGTCGTTTGATGACCAAACTTGACATAGATAGAACACAAGACTCCTTCATGACCAAACTGGACATAGATAGAACACAAGACTCCTTCATGACCAAACTGGACATAGATAGAACACAAGACTCCTTCATGACCAAACTAGACATAGATAGAACACAAGACTCCTTCATGACCAAACTGGACATAGATAGAACACAAGACTCCTTCATGACCAAACTGGACATAGATAGAACACAAGACTCCTTCATGACCAAACTGGACATAGATAGAACACAAGACTCCTTCATGACCAAACTGGAAATAGATAGAACACAAGACTCCTTCATGACCAAACTGGACATAGACAGAACACAAGACTCCTTCATGACCAAACTGGACATAGATAGAACACAAGACTCCTTCATGACCAAACTGGACATAGATAGAACACAAGACTCCTTCATGACCAAACTGGACATAGACAGAACACAAGACTCCTTCATGACCAAACTGGACATAGACAGGACACAAGACTCCTTCATGACCAAACTGGACATAGACAGAACACAAGACTCCTTCATGACCAAACTGGACATAGATAGAACACAAGACTCCTTCATGACCAAACTGGACATAGATAGAACACAAGACTCCTTCATGACCAAACTGGACATAGACAGAACACAAGACTCCTTCATGACCAAACTGGACATAGACAGGACACAAGACTCCTTCATGACCAAACTAGACATAGACAGAACACAAGACTCCTTCATGACCAAACTGGACATAGATAGAACACCTCAAGTTTTAAGATAGTGTTTTAATCTGCCTAGATCACACACACACGTAAACACGCACATACAAGCACACACACACACTATCTCTCTCTCCCTCACACACATATAATATGGATATATATGTATGTATGTATATGTGGTAGATGAGACGTTCCGGGCCATGTTCGCACGTCTGACGATACCAAAAGACACGAAAGACAAGACGTCAGTGCTGAGGTCTGTCAACTACGAGCCTCGATTTTCTGGCGGGGGACTTTGTCAGGTAAATGTCACGTTCTAGATGTCAGGTAAATGTCACGTTCTAGATGTCAGGTAAATGTCACGTTCTAGATGTCAGGTAAATGTCATGTTCTATATGTCAGGTAAATGTCACGTTCTAGATGTCAGGTAAATGTCACTGTCTAAATGTCAGGTAAATGTCACGTTCTAGATGTCAGGTAAATGTCACTGTCTAAATGTCAGGTAAATGTCACGTTCTAGATGTCAGGTAAATGTCACTGTCTAAATGTCAGGTAAATGTCACGTTCTAGATGTCAGGTAAATGTCACTGTCTAAATGTCAGGTAAATGTCACGTTCTATATGTCAGGTAAATGTCACGTTCTAGATGTCAGGTAAATGTCATGTTCTAGATGTCAGGTAAATGTCACGTTCTAGATGTCAGGTAAATGTCACGTTCTAGATGTCAGGTAAATGTCACGTTCTAGATGTCAGGTAAATGTCACGTTCTAGATGTCAGGTAAACGTTACAAACAATATTTTGAGGCGGGCATATGTCAGGTGGGGACGGCGTGTTCGAATGTTAGATCTTAAGACTGGGATTCCGAAAATCTCGAGTTCGGACCCTTGACGGGTACCTTAATAATGAAAACTGAAACGAAATGGCTGGGCATAGTGTTGACCACAATATCCCCCTGTCTTGGGCAAACAGGGAGAGGATGATGATGATATGTCAGATAAATGTCACAAACTAGATTTTTAGGCAGGGGAATCTGTCAAGTTAAAGTCACAAACATCTATTCTAATCACACCCTCCTAAGAGATTTGTTGTTTTATTTTATTTTAGAAATATCTTGTAAACAGAATTAATGGCGATCATGTTAAATACACAAACATTATTTTCTTTGAAACTGTCCAGTCAGTCAAAGTTGGGCCTATGTTAATTAGTCTAATTTAATGACTAGAGTTAATTAGTGTGTGGGTGGCTAATGATAATGAACCTAATTTGATGTCTAGAGTTAATTAGTGTGCGGGTGGCTAATGATAATGATCCTAATTTGATGTCTAGAGTTCAATTAGTGTGTGGATGGCTAATGATAATGATACTAATTTGATGTCTAGAGTTAATTAGTGTGTGGATGGCTAATGATAATGACCCTAATTTGATGTCTAGAGTTCAATTAGTGTGCGGGTGGCTAATGATAATGATCCTAATGTGATGTCTAGAGTTCAATTAGTGTGTGGATGGCTAATGATAATGATCCTGATTTGATGTCTAGAGTTAATTAGTGTGTGGATGGCTAATGATAATGACCCTAATTTGATGTCTCCCTAGATCCGGTTCTGGCACCGCCTGACTGGCCAGACCGTGGAGCTGAGGCTGGAACTGGCCGAACTGGTCAAGAAGAAGACGAACAGACAGACGCGGATGTTGTGGAGCAGCCGACAGGCGGGGGAGAGGGCGGGGAGTGGTCAGTGGAGACGTCAGGTCGTTGACCTCAACAGTGTGGCCATCAACACAAGGTGAAGGTCATTTCACGCTTTGGTTGTTTTTTCCTTCTTGTTGGGCGAGTAGAGTGGGATGCTGCATACAGGACATGGAACTACTTGATGTGACGTTAGGTCATTTGTCACATGACTGTAGGTCACATGACTGTAGGTCACATGTCACATGACTAGTTTATTAGCCGTTAAAATAAAAAGCAACTACTATATTTACTTATGTTTAGCACGTTATTATCTCGCTAATAGGACGCTATAATCATGCTATTAAGACGCTAATATCATGCTATTAAGACGCTAATATCATGTTATTAAGACGCTAATATCATGCTATTAAGACGCTAATATCATGCTATTATCACGCTATTATCACTCTATTAAGAAGCTAATATCACGCTATTAAAACGCTAATATCATGCTATTAAGACGCTACTATCATGTTATTAAGACGCTAATATCATACTATCAAGACGCTAATATCACGCTACTATCACGCTAATATCATGCTAATAACATCATACAACTGTTCTGTTTGCAGCTATGTGCTCCAGTTTAAAGTTGTGACGACCAGTTCATCCTATGGTACAGTTGATCTGCTTAACATTAGCCTGGGACCCGAGTGTTTTAGTTCAGGTACGTTTGTCTGTGGTCAACTAATCTTTCAGTTCAGGTACGTTTGTCATCCTATGGTACAGTTGACCTACTCAATATTAGCCTAGGACCCGAGTGTTTTAGTTCAGGTAAGTTTGTCTGTGGTCAACTAATCTTTCAGTTCAGGTACGTTTGTCATCCTATGGTACAGTTGATCTGCTTAACATTAGCCTGGGACCCGAGTGTTTTAGTTCAGGTAAGTTTGTCGGTGGTCAACTGATCTTTCAGTTCAGGTACGTTTGTCGGTGGTCAAATTATCTTTCAGTTCAGGTACGTTTGTCGGTGGTCGAATAATCTTCTAGTTCAGGTAATTATGTCACTGTTCAAATGATCTTTTAGATAAGTTAATTATGTCACTGTTCAAATGATCTTTTAGATCAGGTAATTATGTCACTGTTCAAATGATCTTTTAGATCAGGTAATTATGTCACTGTTCAAATGATCTTTTAGATCAGATAATTATGTCACTGTTCAAATGATCTTTTAGATCAGGTAATTATGTCACTGTTCAAATGATCTTTTAGATCAGGTAATTATGTCACTGTTCAAATGATCCTTTAGATCAGATAATTATGTCACTGTTCAAATGATCTTTTAGATCAGGTAATTATGTCACTGTTCAAATGATCTTTTAGATCAGGTAATTATGTCACTGTTCAAATGATCCTTTAGATCAGGTAATTATGTCACTGTTCAAATGATCATTTAGATCAGTTAATTATGTCACTGTTCAAATGATCTTTTAGTTCATGTAAATATGTCACTGTTAAAATGATGTTTTAATTGTGTAAATATGTCAGTGGTCAGCTGATGTTTTAGTTGTGTAAATATTTCAGTGGTCAACTGATGTTTTAGTTGTGTAAATATGTCAGTGGTCAACTGATGTTTTAGTTGTGTAAATACGTCAGTGGTCAACTGAAGTATTGATTCAGACACATTTGGCAATAGCGAACGCCTTGCACTCCATTGCTTCATCTCTTTAATTGAACGGCTTAACCCAACGAAAACAAAAGCTTAAACTCTGCGTGTTTCTCCAATTTATCCTGTCAGTTTTAAAAGAACTTTAATTTTTTTTTTCAAGTGTTAAAACAATAAGCAGAGGCGTGGCTAAGATTTGACATGACACGATGATTATAACTTGGGGTCGTGTAAAGGGCTCGGGTATGTGGGTGTCAGAAAAACAATTTAAAAGAATCAATTAGTGTACAGGAATTTAATCAATGACTCGAGGGGTTCTCACGTTGTTTAAGATCGGGAGAAGTTTTATTAGAGATATTTTATTAGAGATATTTTATTAGAGATATTTTATTAGAGATATTTTATTAGAGATATTTTATTAGAGATATTTTATTAGAGATATTTTGTTAGAGATATTCTATTAGAGATATTTTATTAGAGATATTTTATTAGAGATATTTTATTAGAGATATTTTATTAGAGATATTTTATTAGAGATATTTTATTAGAGATATTTTATTTGAGATATTTTATTAGAGATATTTTATTAGAGATATTTTATTAGAGATATTTTATTAGAGATATTTTATTAGAGATATTTTATTAGAGATATTTTATTAGAGATATTTTATTAGAGATATTTTATTAGAGATATTTTATTAGAGATATTTTATTAGAGATATTTTATTAGAGATATTTTATTTGAGATATTTTATTTGAGATATTTTATTTGAGATATTTTATTTGAGATATTTTATTAGAGATATTTTATTAGAGATATTTTATTTGAGATATTTTATTTGAGATATTTTATTTGAGATATTTTATTTGAGATATTTTATTTCAGATATTTTATTTCAGATATTTTATTTGAGATATTTTATTTGAGATATTTTATTTGAGATAATATATTAGCTGCTCACATAGAAACATTGTCTAACCTTCCGTGGTTTATAAAAGAATAATACAGTCACTGGTTGACTAGACCGTATATATCAAACTCGGCAGTTCTGTTGTTTACTTTACTCTATATGAAAGTTTGCTTGTATAGTGCACATGTGGTTAATACACTTGAGATGTTTTAACAAACATTGGATGGAGGACTTTGTCCACTCATGTTGGTGTGACCCCTCTTCAGGATGCCCCTCCCCCCTCCCCACTTATTCTCTACATTGAGGTGATCCCCCCTGTTGTAACTGGGGATCATGTCCCCGCAGTTATTCAGTGGGAGGGTTTACACTCTCTAGCGTACCGCGTCACACGGCCACATTTTTTATTTATATAAAATATTTTCACAAGACATATACTCTCGTACCCAATCACACACATCATAACCCCCCCTCCCTCGCGACATTATCCCACATGATTTTTCCCCTTGTCAAATACCCCCACTGTATTACCCCTCACTCCCCCCCCCCTTCTCCCTAAAAAAAACACAAAAAAACCTCTGCAGCTCTATATACTCTGTCATTACACGCAACCCTAATCGAAAGTTACCATTAGGTTTAGGGTTGGGTATGGGTACCTATACAGAAAGGGATAGGCACTCCACTAACCTATTAACCTGAAGCCCCGCTGTTTACAAATTCCGTGTGTAAAACGAACGTAAAATCCTCTGAATGTTGTCATTGAATGAAATACTGGGCCAGTGGTCAAGCACTCAATCAACTGGCCCCGCTCTTCACGCGAATCTCCATTTCGTCATCGGGATCCGAACATTCTCCTATCCATTAAAAAAAACAACAACTGCCAAACTGTAATTAGTTTCTGATTTAAAAAAAAAAACTCTCGTAAGGTTTAAAATATCCTGTTTTTTTTTTTTTGTTTTTTTTGTTTTTTGTTTTTTTTAGCACAGAAAATGAAACTCGGCGTTGTTCTATAGTACAAATAAACCCTGTTCTTTTCATATTTGGAAGAAGAAATTGTTCGTAATTTTCAGACTGACCACATAAAACTATTGGTTACTTTCAGCTCTGAGACTGACCACATAAAACTATTGGTTACTTTCAGCTCTGAGACTGACCACATAAAACTATTGGTTACTTTCAGCTCTGAGACTGACCACATAAAAATTCTCAGCTCTGAAACTGACCAGATAAAACTATTGCTTACTTTTAGCTCTGAGACTGACCACATGTGGAGAAGAGGGACACACCGGCCCCACCCAAGAGCTGTGTGACAAGCACTACCTGACTGCGGGGGTGGTGGACGTTGAGAACTTCACCATCAACGGCAGCTGGGCCCGGGGGGTGCAGGCATGGACGGTCCCTGAAACAGCTGTCTACAAGTAAGTCGGTGTTAGCTTACAGCCGTGATAGCTTAAAGCCGTGTTAGCTTACAGCCGTGTAAATCTTACAGCCGTGTAAATCTTACAGCTAAGTAAATATCATAGCCGTGTATGCTTTAAGCCGCGTATAAATGTTTTAAACTAAAAATACCAAACTTATGAAAAGAGGGGATAGTGAAGACATTCAAGTAAAAAGAATATTGAAAAGTTAAGCAAGAAAATAAAGGAAGGAAAAATAGAAGAAAAACTTTACAATAACATTAATTTTAAATTTTAATAAAAAAAAAATACGAAGTTAAAAATGGTTAGCATTATTCAATTAAAGCTAATGTTAATAAAACAGAATTTAATGCACTTTTTATTTTATTTTTCCTAACACAATTAACGAATTGCGATATCGATTGATTAAAAATGGACTATAAACATCGACAAAGCCCAATACATTAAACAGAGCAGACCATATTTTCATCAACAAAAAAAAGGAATATATTAAAAAGATTTAGTTTTTTCATGTTTTTTAGTTCAACTAACATTAAAATTTAAGATAGGAATATCCCCTGGGCTATTCTAATAAATCATAAATAACCGCGCTTGACTAGGTATTAATATATGGCAAGGGAAGCAATCAATACAAACCCACAGAAATAAAAAGAATGTTTATACTTCATAATAAACGAATGAATATTGCAAAAAGAAAAAAAAGAATAAAAAATGTAAAAACATTAGAGGCTGAAATAGGAATGTTGGCGTGACCGAAGTGGTTTTAAGAATAAATTTAACGTAAACTTATATGTTGTGTCTGCTGTTGGTTTGTATGTAGATCTAGGTCTTACTTCATCAGATCTTTCAGATGACTCATACATTAAGCCAAACACTTTATTTCTGGAAGTTTATAGCCTATATTGTTTAGATCTGGTTGTTTTTTGTCAAACTTGTCATTTCTTTTAGTATTTATATTTTGTAAAATCTTTTTGTTTTTGTCAAATTTGTTAGTTATTGTAGTTTTTATATTTTGTAAAATCTTGTTGTTTTTGTCAAACTTGTTAGTTATTGTAGTTTTTATATTTTGTAAAATCTTGTTGTTTTTTGTCAAACTTGTCAGTTCTTGTAGTTTTTATAATTTGTAAAATCTTGTTGTTTTTGTCAAACTTGTCATTTCTTTTAGTATTTATATTTTGTAAAATCTTGTTTTTTTTTTGTCAAACTTGTTAGTTCTTGAAGTTTTTATATTTTGTAAAATCTTGTTGTTTTTGTCAAACTTGTTAGTTCTTGTAGTTTTTATATTTTGTAAAATCTTGTTGTTTTTTGTCAAACTTGTTAGTTCTTGTAGTTTTTTTTTTTTTTTTAAATCTTGTTGTTTTTGTCAAACTTGTTAGTTCTTGTGGGTTTTTTTTTTTAAATCTTGTTGTTTTTGTCAAACTTGTTAGTTCTTGTAGTTTTTATATTTTGTAAAATCTTGTTTTTGTCAAACTTGTTAGTTCTTGTAGTTTTACAATGCATCTGGGTACATTTGCACTGATTTAATTTTGTCAGAATCGAGGCGTTTGGGGCCAGGGGAGGCTATGGCGGCCACCTGGCGCCCCTGCTGAGCCAGGCTAAAGGGAGTCACGTGACTGCCAAGTTCCAGTTGGAGAAAGGGGACAGAATCCACTTCGTCGTGGGTCAGATTGGTGAACACGCATGTCAGGTGTGTACAAACTGATAGGTTTAGGACAGTGTGTACAAACTGATAGGTTTAGGACAGTGTGTACAAACTGGTAGGTTTAGGACAGTGTGTACAAACTGATAGGTTTAGGATAGTGTGTACAAACTGGTAGGTTTAGGACAGTGTGTACGAACTGCTGGTGTAGTTACTTTGAGTGTTGGGGTGATGATGTTGATGTGTAGTGATGTGTTGTATAATATGGTAATGACGTCGTTGTGTCTTATGCTGGTAATGTAGTTGTGTTGTGATATCTGGTGATGATGTTGTTGTATAAACTGGTGGTGATGTTGTGTCTTATGCTGGTAATGTAGTTGTGTTGTGTTATCTGGTGATGATGTGGTTGTATAAACTGGTGGTGATGTCGTTGTGTCTTATGCTGGTAATGTAGATGTTCAGTCTAACCTGGTGGTGATGTCGTTGTGTCTTTTGCTGGTAATGTAGTTGTGTTGTGTAATCTGGTGTTGATGTAGTTGTGTAAATTGGTGATGGTGCTGTGTTATCTGGTCACTGTGTGGTGTGATTGTGATGTCTGCCAGACAAGAAAACTCAAACGTCCCCCCCCCCGTCTCCACAGGACCTGTCTATAACGCCGACCGCCCATTGTAGACTCAGCCACTTACACGACACGCATCACAAATACCCTGTGGCGGGGGGCGGCGGAGGTGGCGCCACCTACATATATAAGGTTAGTATTTCCATTCTACTGATATCACATTGTTCCCTCACTTTAACCATAAACACAAACAAATATCACAATTTGTTTTCCTAGCCTAATAAAATAAAACCCACCTCCTCCTATATTATCGACTATTAATTTCAGCATCTAACTAAAACGTATGAGGCGGGCGTGTATCAGGTAGGGACGGTGTGGTCCAATGGTAGAGCATACAGTCCGAAACTGGGTTCAAAACTGTAAACAGCTCGAGTCCACCCAGCTTTAATGGGTACCTGACTCTCGTTAGGGAAAGTAAAGGCGGCTTGATATAGTGCTGACCGCACTAGCCTATCGTAAACTGAGGTCACAGAAACCAGTGAACTCTACTCCACTTGCCATAGACCGTCAAGTTTGAATGGGAACTTGACTTACTTTATATAACAAGTGCACCCTCCCCTCCCCCACTTAGGTCCTTAAAGCACAACCACTAGAATTAAAGGCCGACGTAATATTCTATCATATAAAATTTGACTATACACAAGGCACTAGTGCTAGCTTATACATGAAGGCAAAATAATCGGAATTTTAAAAAAAAGTGGTGTCAATTTGATAAAAAAAGTTAATTCACAATTCAAAGTCTAAGTAGCTGGTAAATTACGAAATTACTGGTTAATTAAAAACATATTGCATAATACTAGATCTCTACTTTATTTAACAGAACCATCCAGGGCAGACAACTCTGGATATTCTTCTGGTGGCAGGCGGGGGAGGGGGGATGCCATTCCTTTATAGCAGACGAGAGCATATGGAAGATGAAGAGAATGGCGACACAACTGACCAATCAAATAGCGAGAAAGAATATCAGGAATACTTACAGATAGAGTCAAGTAGGTTTTTTTTTTCTTTAAGTTTTTCCAAAAATCTCCACAATATATCTCTAAGATTACTGTAAATCTTCACAATATATCTTTAAGATTACTGTAAATCTTCACAATATATCTCTAAGATTACTGTAAATCTTCACAATATATATCTAGGATTGCTGTAAGTCTCCACAAAATATCTCTAAAATTGCTGTCAATCTCCACAGATATCTCAAAGATCATGGGAAAAGATTACGCAAAAGCTCTGTTTCAGTATACACCTGAAGGTCTGAGCTCATGTGTACAGAACCATATTGACACCGTGTTTTCCTCTGGCGGGTTTGGCATGGGCTTTGGCGCCTGCTACGGTGGTGGTTTTGGTGGTGGTGCCGCACGTAAGTCTGATGTTGTAGTGACCATCAAAACTGGTCTTGTCTGGACACCGTACTTATTTGTCTTCACAAATTAGAATTTAGAGTGTGTTTTTTAGTATGGGTAAATTGTGCATGGTCACATATATCAAGTGTGGCGATGGGGAATGTTTAACCTTATTGTTTTCGTGCAGTATTTCTTTAGATTGGTCTTGATCCCTGATAACCTTTTGACATTTTTTCTCCAGTGAAAAATATCCACTAAAAACCATTTAAAATGATGGATGTTATATTTCCAGTGAAAAATATCCACTTAAAAAACATTTAAAATGATGGATGTTATATTTCCAGTGAAAGATATTCACTTAAAAAACCATTTAAAATGATGGATGTTATAATTCCAGTGAAAGATGTCCACTTTAAAAACCATTTAAAATGATGAATATTTTATTTCCAGTGAAAGATGTCCACTTAAAAAACCATTTAAAATGATGGATGTTTTTATTTCCAGTGAAAGATGTCCACTTAAAAAACCATTTAAAATGATGAATATTTTATTTCCAGTGAAAGATGTCCACTTAAAAAACCATTTAAAATGATGGATGTTTTTATTTCCAGTGAAAGATGTCCACTTTAAAAACCATTTAAAATAATGGATTTTTTATTTCCAGCGAAAAATATCCACTTAAAAACCATTTAAAATGATGGATGTTATAATTCCAGTGAAAGATGTCCACTTAAAAAACCATTTAAAATGATGAATATTTTATTTCCAGTGAAAGATGTCCACTTAAAAAACCATTTAAAATTATGGATGTTTTTATTTCCAGTGAAAGATGTCCACTTAAAAAACCATTTAAAATGATGGATGTTATATTTCCAGTGAAAGATGTCCACTTAAAAAACCATTTAAAATTATGGATGTTATATTTCCAGTGAAAAATATCCACTTAAAAAACCATTTAAAATGATGGATGTTTTATTTCTAGTGAAAGATGTCCACTTAAAAAACCATTTAAAATAATGGATGTTTTATTTCCAGTGAAAGATGCTAAGAAGATCAACGGGACACCTACAGTTGGCCGGCCTGGCCAGTCCTACGTCAGCGATTCGGCCATTTTCTCGATGATGTCAAATGGTGGGTGGTAGTTCTCATTACATCATTACATTATTACATAATTACATAATTACATAAATACATCATTACATCCCTGTTTAGGCTCTTCATAGCAACTGTCCAAATGGTAATTGAAGTAGAGATCAACTGTTTTTGTGACCTCGTTATATGAAGGGATGGCGTGGTCCTTAACGTGAGTCAGGTACCCATAAGAGCTGGGTGGACTCAGGGAAGTTCTTAGGACTTGAACCCGAATTCAAACGCGATTCTTTGGCGTGAACTTTCAAGTCCTATACTATTCGACTACACCGTCGCACTGTTATAGTCAGGTTATATCTAGACTCAGCTTGATTTGTTACATAATCAAAGTCAGATAATTAAAGCTCAGTGGACAGTTCTCAATCATACGATAATTAAACACAATGACCACTTAGATTTTGGTCCAATGAAAGACTGGTATCAAAATCTCTACTCCACTTATTATTTTGACCTGATCGAATTCAGGAACTTAGAACTCAGGTTTCTATTGGTTGTTGGGATAAGGTCCAAACCGCTGCACGTGCAGGTAGGTCCCTCAAGTTTGATCTGACCTGTGACCTTTACAATCACGTGACATCGTCCTCTTGGTTCCAGAGGTGCATGAAGGTTCCGGCTTGGTGGAGGTCTCGCCCGTGGGGTCATGTGACTGCAGCTACTACTGCCAGTGGCTGGACGACTCGTTTCAAGCACCAACCTGCTACCTGCCGGGGCAGAACTTAGCCGCTCACGCTGGTTAGTCTAAATACCAAAACTTGCAACACTTGCTGGCGTACCGTATATACACGAATATTTTAAAAACTGCTTACAATGTAACTACCTCAATCTACAAATATTTCCTATACTATAGCTAAATAAAACTACCCAAATCTGTTGATAGACTACCTAAATCGTATGAAACTTCTGATAATTTAATTACCTAAACTTAGTATACAAGTTAGTGCAGAAATTTCTAAACAAATATTTTCAATACTTTAAATATTGAAACATATTTTCAAATACTTCTCATTAGCTCAATTGGACGAACACTTTAATTAAGTATTCCAATTACCATAATTGCCTGAACACAAATTTCAAACAACTAATTTGTTTTTGTTCTAGCTGTTGAATCACGAGAATTTTTCCCGTGGTACTTTGTGGTGGCACTGTGTGTTGGTATTGGCGTGGTCGTCTGTCTACTGGCCGTTTGCATATGTGAGTAGCCAAACCAAAGCACACACTAATGCACAAGTTAAAATTGTACAAGTCAGTTTTTCACTTTTACAAAAGTCCTTTACAAATTTTAATCTGAGTGAAAACACAAATAGTGTGTCATATTTACAAAAGTAGCAAGACTGGGTACCATAAGATGAACTGTGTTCACAGATCTGCGATGCAGGACTATCAGAGCGCGGCACCCAACAAGTTTGAAGAAAATGGCGTCGTTCTTCTGCCCGTGTGTCCATTTATCTGGCAACCCCGCCACCAGGAACGTGCTGCCACAGATCCAGCGCCCCCCGGCCATCATGCACCTGAACCCCAACTACGACAGGGTCTCGACTAAAGAGCCGCACCAGGACTTGAAGGAGATCAATAGGAAACATCTCAAGTTGATGAGGTGAGGGGTGACGTCATGGGGTGAGGGGTGACGTTATGAGGTGAGGGGTGACGTTATGAGGTGAGGGGTGACGTTATGAGGTGAGGGGTGACGTTATGAGGTGAGGGGTGACGTTATGAGGTGAGGGGTGACGTTATGAGGTGAGGGGTGACGTTATGAGGTGAGGGGTGACGTTATGAGGTGAGGGGTGACGTTATGAGGTGAGGGGTGACGTTATGAGGTGAGGGGTGACGTTATGAGGTGAGGGGTGACGTTATGAGGTGAGGGGTGACGTTATGAGGTGAGGGGTGACGTTATGAGGTGAGGGGTAGATGGACGTCATGAGGTGGGGGATAGATGGACGTCATGAGGTGAGGGGACAGTGACGTCATGAGGTGAGGGGTAGATGGACGTCATGAGGTGAGGGGTGACGTCATGGGGTGAGGGGTGACGTTATGAGGTGAGGGGTGACGTTATGGGGTGAGGGGTGACGTTATGAGGTGAGGGGTGACGTTATGAGGTGAGGGGTGACGTTATGAGGTGAGGGGTGACGTTATGAGGTGAGGGGTGACGTTATGAGGTGAGGGGTGACGTTATGAGGTGAGGGGTGACGTTATGAGGTGAGGGGTGACGTTATGAGGTGAGGGGTGACGTTATGAGGTGAGGGGTGACGTTATGAGGTGAGGGGTGACGTTATGAGGTGAGGGGTGACGTTATGAGGTGAGGGGTGACGTTATGAGGTGAGGGGTGACGTTATGAGGTGAGGGGTGACGTTATGAGGTGAGGGGTGACGTTATGAGGTGAGGGGTGACGTTATGAGGTGAGGGGTGACGTTATGAGGTGAGGGGTGACGTTATGAGGTGAGGGGTGACGTTATGAGGTGAGGGGTGACGTTATGAGGTGAGGGGTGACGTTATGAGGTGAGGGGTAGATGGACGTCATGAGGTGGGGGATAGATGGACGTCATGAGGTGAGGGGACAGTGACGTCATGAGGTGAGGGGTAGATGGACGTCATGAGGTGAGGGGTGACGTCATGGGGTGAGGGGTGACGTTATGAGGTGAGGGGTGACGTTATGGGGTGAGGGGTAGATTGACGTCATGAGGTGGGGGATAGATGGACGTCATGAGGTGAGGGGACAGTGACGTCATGAGGTGAGGGGTAGATGGACGTCATGAGGTGAGGGGTGACGTCATGGGGTGAGGGGTGACGTTATGAGGTGAGGGGTAGATTGACGTCATGAGGTGGGGGATAGATGGACGTCATGAGGTGAGGGGACAGTGACGTCATGAGGTGAGGGGTATATTGACGTCATGAGGTGAGGGGTGACGTCATGGGGTGAGGGGTGACGTTATGAGGTGAGGGGTGACGTTATGAGGTGAGGGGTAGATGGACGTCATGAGGTGGGGGATAGATGGACGTCATGAGGTGAGGGGACAGTGACGTCATGAGGTGAGGGGTAGATGGACGTCATGAGGTGAGGGGTGACGTCATGGGGTGAGGGGTGACGTCATGGGGTGAGGGGTAGATTGACGTCATGAGGTGAGGGGACAGTGACGTCATGAGTACATTGACGTCGTGAGATGAGGGGTAGATTTAGGTCATGAGGTGAAGGTAGACGTCATGAGGTGAGGGGTATATTGACGTCATGAGGTGAGGGGTACATGGACGTCATGAGGTGAGGGGTACATGGACGTAATGAGGTGAGGGGTACATGGACGTCATGAGGTGAGGGGTACATTGACGTCATGAGGTGAGGGGTACATAGACGTCATGAGGTGAGGGGAACATTTTCGTCATGAGGTGAGGGGTAGATTGACGTCACGAGGTGAGGGGTACATTGACGTCATTAGGTGAGGGGTAGACGTCGTGAGTACATTGACGTCATGAGGCGAGGGGTACATGGACGTCATGAGGTGAGGGGTAGATTGAAGTTTCAGTGAGTTGGGCGTTAGGTGAGGTCTACTACGGTCTGCTGTCTGTATGTTCTAACCTCCCCCCTCCCCTAATGTTTCAGTGAGTTGGGCCAGGGAGCGTTTGGTGAAGTCTACTACGGCCTTCTGTCCAACGTCCCTATGGTGGTCGGGGACCTGGCTGTGGCCGTCAAGACACTGCCGCCAGTCTGCACTGAGCAGACGGAGATGGATTTTCTGATGGAGGCAGTCATCGTCAGGTGAGTTCTAGCCTTGGCTTGTTAGACGAGATAACTGGTGATTCGTGTATGGGATGGTTAGCAGTCTGGTGCTAGAATGATTGGAAGCTGAATGATTATATTTTTAAAGTTTGAATGCAAGATCAAGAAGCAGTTTCAATGGTCGAGGGTCGGCTGGTATTGCTGTGTATAAAAATATTCAATAATAAAAAATGTAAATAATATCGTCCAGAACTTATCAGTGCCAGATTTTCCAAAAAAAAAACCTTCTCCCCAGCAAATTCACCCCCCCCCCACCCACCGCCTACTATAAAATAATATCTCCGTCTGTCCCCAGCAAGTTCACCCCCATCCACCTCACCCCCCCCCCCCAACTCACCTGCCATAAAATAACATCACCGTCTGTCCCCAGCAAGTTCAACCCTCCCCCCACCCCCACTGCCATAAAATAACATCACCGTCTGTCCCCAGCAAGTTCAACCCTCCCCCCACCCCCACTGCCATAAAATAACATCACCGTCTGTCCCCAGCAAGTTCAACCCTCCCCCCACCCCCACTGCCATAAAATAACATCTCCGTCTATCCCCAGCAAGTTCACCCCTCCCCCCCCCCCCCACTGCCATAAAATAACATCACCGTCTGTCCCCAGCAAGTTCAACCCTCCCCCCACCCCCAATGCCATAAAATAACATCTCCGTCTATCCCCAGCAAGTTCACCCCTCCCCTCCACCCCCACTGCCATAAAATAACATCTCCGTCTGTCCCCAGCAAGTTCAACCACCCCAACATCGTCAAGTTTATCGGGGTGTGTTTTGACCAGCACCCCCACTACCTGGTTCTTGAGCTGCTCGAGGGTGGGGACCTCAAGAGTTTTCTGCTGCAAGCTCGGCCTAAATGGGTAAACATACCGTCATTGTTGTGTGTGACACAGCCGTACGGCTATCATACAAATACATAAACACGGCCTAACACTTGTTTGTGTACTACCACCGTAATTCGATCACCATAGGGCACAGTTCACTATAGGGCTGGTAAGTAGGTCACCAAATAGTTCTACAGCTCAATCAAACCTGCATGAGCCATAGAACTGTTTATTGACCTACTTACCAGCCCTATAGATATCCAACAGTTTCTACAAATGTCTACACATCACATTGTATAGAAGTCACACACCAATGTTTGTTGAATCATAGCTGTACACTCTGTACATAACAGGAACAACCTTCACCTTTGACCGTCCTTGACTTACTTCGCCTTTCCCTTGACATTGCTCGCGGGTGTCAGCATTTGGAGGAGAAACATTTTATACACAGGTATTTTATTGACACAACTTTGTATACAAAATTAAATGGTATGGCTTGATGGTTTATCAGTAACGTCCAATAATAGTTGAAACACATGCTCTATGGGAGTCTTTATGATACTTTTTAAAACTAGGAAATGTAGCACCTCTATCTAATTTTATTTAAGGGTTATCCATAAATGACGTCACGCTTTTTTTTGACGATTTTTACCTCCCCCCTACCCTCCGTCACACATCGTCACAAAAGCCAGACCGCCCCCCCCTAAAATGACGTCACACCTCAGCCTACAACCCCCCCCCTTAAAATTGCAGTTGAAATTTTTTAAACATCAATATTTTTCCAAAATCTTGTCTGAACTCTGTCAAAATAGATTATTTGAATCAATTCCTATTACAATTTATCAAAACAGTTTTCTAAAACGCGAAATAACGTCTAAAATTCGTTTTCTAATATTGCTTTTTTATAATGCAAAAGTGTGACGTCGTACCATCTAAACCCCCCCCCCCCCCCCCTCATCACACACCGTCACAAAATTACGGACCCCCCTCCCCCCTACGAGTGTGACGTCATTTATGGACGACCCCTTAGTATTCGTTTTGCATATACATTATACAAGATGTATACAGTTTTAGACATTAACCTTGTTGTCTCCCCCCCCCCCCCCCCCCCCCAGGGATATAGCCGCTAGAAACTGTCTACTCACCACCAAAGGCCCAAACAGGATGGCGAAAATTGCTGACTTTGGTATGGCTCGAGATATTTACAGGTAGGTTTTTACACACTACAGACACGTCATGTCTACAGGTTGTAGGTTTAGGATATTTACAGGTAGGTTTAGACACGTGATATGTTCAGGTAGGTTTAGACACGTGATGTGTTCAGGTAGGTTTAGACACGTGATGTATACAGGTAAAATTAGACATGTGATGTCTACAGGTAGGTTTAGACACGTGATATCTACAGGTAGGTTTAGACACGTGATGTCTACAGGTAGGTTTAGACACGTGATGTGTTCAGGTAGGTTTAGACACGTGATGTATACAGGTAAAATTAGACACGTGATGTCTACAGGTAGGTTTAGACACGTGATGTATACAGGTAAAATTAGACATGTGATGTCTACAGGTAGGTTTAGACACGAGTACGAGATGTAGTTTTACCTGTCCATTACATATCATTTGCACGTAGGTTTGCAAGAAGTGTGATACTTATTTATTTTGCCTGAGCCCATTACACAATCATCATGACTGTCAGTAGATGTTGGTACTCAGTTTCATACTTTTATTGTTTCATGAGTTTAGTTCTGATTATTGCATAATTTCAGGTACGATTATTACATGATTACAGCTTTAATCATTACATGATTCCAGGTCTAATTATTACATGATTACAGCTTTAATCATTACATAATTCCAGGTCTGATTATTACATGATTACAGCTTTAATCATTACATAATTCCAGGGTTGATTATTACATGATTACAGCTTTAATCATTACATAATTTCAGTCAGGTCTAATTATTACATGCTTACAGCTTTAATGATTACATGATTCCAGGTCTGATTATTACAAAAAAGCCGGTAAAGCCATGTTACCGGTCAAGTGGATGCCTCCTGAGGCTTTTCTAGACGGAGTTTTTTCTTCAAAGACAGATGTTTGGTAATGTTGCTTCGATTATAATTTACTTTAAATGATTAAACCAAATACAGTCATTTAAAATCCATAAATATAGCTTTATTTATGAGTGTTAAACTTGACTTAATCAGTCTAACCCAAATCCTGCATAATCTAACCCTAACCCTGCATAATCTTACCCTAAACCTGTTCAGTCTAGCCTTAGACCTGTATATCTTACCCTAAACCTGCTCAATCTAACCCTAAACCTGTATATCTTACCCTAAACCTGCTCAGTCTAACCTTAAACCTGTATATCTTACCCTAAACCTGCTCAATCTAACCCTAAACCTGTACCGCTGGAGCACAACACATATGTGTGCTTCAGTCGAATATCATTTCCGACAATAGTCCTACCCCACGTACCACTATACCTACATAACAATGACATCGTGGTATAAAATCCCCCCCCCCCAACAAAATTGTTCTACCCACTATACCTACATAACAATGACATCGTGGTATAAAATCCCCCCCCCCCCAACAAAATTGTTCTACCCACTATACCTACATAACAATGACATCGTGGTATAAAATCCCCCCCCCCCAACAAAATTGTTCTACCCACTATACCTACATAACAATGACATCGTGGTATAAAATCCCCCCCCCCCCCCAACAAAATTGTTCTACCCACTATACCTACATAACAATGACATCGTAGTATAAAATCCCCCCCCCCCAACAAAATTGTTCTACCCACTATACCTACATAACAATGACATCGTGGTATAAAATCCCCCCCCCAACAAAATTGTTCTACCCACTATACCTACATAACAATGACATCGTGGTGTAAAATCACCCCCCCCCCCCCCAACAAAATTGTTCTACCCACTATACCTACATAACAATGACATCGTGGTATAAAATCCCCACCCCCCCCCCCCCAACAAAATTGTTCTACCCACTATACCTACATAACAATGACATCGTGGTGTAAAATCACCCCCCCCCCCCAACAAAATTGTTCTACCCACTATACCTACATAACAATAACATCGTGGTGAAACCCGCCCCCCCCCCCAACAAAATTGTCCTAACCACCATACCTACATAACAATAACATCGTGGTATAAAATCCCCCCAACAAAATTGTTCTACCCACTATACCTACATAACAATAACATCGTGGTGAAACCCGCCCCCCCCCCCCCCAACAAAATTGTCCTAACCACCATACCTACATAACAATAACATCGTGGTATAAAATCCCCCCCAACAAAATTGTTCTACCCACTATACCTACATAACAATGACATCGTGGAATAAAATCCCGCCCCCCCCCCACTATACCCACAAAAAGTGACATCTTGCTGTGAAACTTTCTCTCCCCCCCCCCCCCTCTAGGTCTTTTGGCATCCTGATGTGGGAGGTGTTCTCCCTGGGCCACATGCCCTACCCCGGGCGCTCCAACGAGGAGGTGATGAACCTGGTCACACAGGGGGGACGGCTGGAGTCTCCGGGAGGATGTCCCTCAGCCGTGTGAGTTGGTTCTGTAGTCACGTGATTAGTGGTCAACGGTCGTCACGTGACCAGTGGTCAACGGTCGTCACGTGACCAGTGGTCAACGGTCGTCACGTGACCAGTGGTCAACGGTCGTCACGTGACCAGTGGTCAGCGGTCGTCACGTGACCAGTGGTCAACGGTCGTCACGTGACCAGTGGTCAACGGTCGTCACGTGACCAGTGGTCAATTGTCGTCATGTGACAAGTGGTCAACTATTGTCACGTGACCAGTGGTCTCTTGATTTCATGGTTTGATTTCAAGTACAAAAATACCATTTGTATTTCATGTGTTGGGCATCTTATTGTAATCATAACTTGAATAGAATCAAATGAACTATTCTGGACTTCTACCATCAGGTTTAGCTAAATTAAATTTTAAAAATAAAACGGAAAACATTTTGTAAATATGTATTTTATACTTAGTAAGAAATACACCCAAAAAAATTATAAAAGCACTTGAACATGGTGCTTGTTTTAAAAATCTTCGTTACAACGCCATCATCTAGCCAATCAGCAACATATAATTTGTTGTAAACAACCTTGATCTAATAATGAACTCGTAAAACAATTGATTATGGGGCTTAAAAAGAATAAAATGTTGACTATATTGTAAAGATGATGGCGATTTTTAAAAATCTAATTAACGCTGTAAAACGCAATTAAACAATCGGAAACAAAAACAACGTTATCACAAACAAACCAAAAAAAAAGAAAAAAAGAAAAAAAAAACTTGACACGCTCATTTTGATTGAATCAAAGATCCATTTTTTACCCTCACAGATTTGATATCATGGCATCATGCTGGAATGCTATGCCCGAAGGTCGACCTAACTTTTCACTCATCATCGCCAGCCTTGAAAGGAGACTCAAGGTCACTGACCAATTTGTGTGATAGGTTTTTTTAAACACCTGAATTTTATGTGTTGTGACATTCTTTTCAACACACTGAAATTGGAGAATACTTTAACATTTTTCTGTTTGATGTTTGCTTATTTTTTGTTTATTTGTGTGTGGTTTTTTTTTTTTTCCTTTTTTTTTTGCTTAATTAAAATTCAGAAAAAACTTAAAAGTGCAACCAAGTGGGATAATATTCGAAAACAAAAGACGTTAGACTTAATAGAATCAATGGTAGAAAAATTAGATAAATCTTCTTAAGCTTGAAAATAAATTTAAAACATGTTCCTCTTGTCAAATATATTTACAAGGTAATTTGTCAGACATTAGCTGTCGTTATTGCTCGTGACATTTAATAAAAATTGCCGTGATTATAAAATGATTTATCCCAACACGATGTGTGCAACTAATGTAGCTACAACCCCATACAAGGTCCGGTAAAAGAATGCTAGTTAACTTGACACAAATTGTCATGGTGTCCACAGTTAACTTGACACAAATTGTCATGGTGTCCACAGTTAACTTGACATAAATTGTCATTGTGTCCACAGTTAACTTGACACAAATTGTCATTGTGTCCACAGTTTACTTGACATAAATTGTCATTGTGTCCACAGTTAACTTTACATTGTCATTGTGTCCACAGTTAACTTTACATTGTCATGGTGTCCACAGTTAACTTTACATTGTCATTGTGTCCACAGTTAACTTTACATTGTCATGGTGTCCACAGTTAACTTGACATAAATTGTCATTGTGTCCACAGTTAACTTTACATAAATTTATTTGTCATTGTGTCCACAGTTAACTTGACATTGTCATTGTGTCCACAGTTAACTTGACATTGTCATTGTGTCCACAGTTAACTTGACATTGTCATTGTGTCCCCAGTTAACGTTACATTGTCATTGTGTCCCCAGTTAACTTTACATTGTCATTGTGTCCACAGTTAACTTTACATTGTCATGGTGTCCACAGTTAATTTTACATTGTCATTGTGTCCACAGTTAACTTTACATTGTCATGGTGTCCACAGTTAACTTGACATAAATTGTCATTGTGTCCACAGTTAACTTTACATAAATTTATTTGTCATTGTGTCCACAGTTAATTTGACATTGTCATTGTGTCCACAGTTAACTTGACATTGTCATTGTGTCCACAGTTAACTTGACATTGTCATTGTGTCCCCAGTTAACGTTACATTGTCATTGTGTCCCCAGGATGATGACGTGGCGACCCGGGGGTTACCTGTCTTCTACGTGTCCCCAATCGTCAACACCCGGAGCCCCAGACTGACCGAGCGTCCATCTTTCAACTCGCCCCACCCGAAAACTGGGGCGTCCCGGGGGGTGATCCACCCCAGCGAGAACACCCTGAGCCCCCACACGGCCAGTGACGGCTACCTGGAGCCTCTCCTGACGCTCAGCTCTCGGGAGGTCCTGCACGACACCGCTCACAAGACCCCCAGTGACACCGGCTCCAGGAGAGGCAACACCAAGTTCCACCAGAAGGAACCTGAGTTCTCCAAGTCTGAACATCTTATAGACAGCACCAAATCCAGCGTCAAATCTCGCACCCCGCGGGTTTTCTACAAACCTGGAACCAACCCCGCCCATTCCCCGGCAGACCCCGCCCACGAAGCCTTGCTCCACTCACAGTCCACCCCGGAGAACATTGCCCAGGTGGAGGAGTGCGTCGCCCTTAGCAACGGCGACAGGCAGGACAGCAATACCAAGCTAAGTGACAGCGGTTGTGACAGCGAATCATGTGATGTGTCCAGCGATATCAAAGACTTTAACGCTACGGACGATTTGAAAACGGTGGACGTGGTCGAGCTGCCGGAACTGAACCCTAAGAGAAAGTCGTACACACATTTTCCCCGGGCCTCGTCACAGCACTGATTACATAACATAGCACTGGTTGTGTTACAGTAGTGATTACACGACATAACACTGGTTATACGACATAGCACTGATTACATGATGTCATGCTGATTTATCCCAACACCCTACTAAATACACAACGGAGTAGCTAACTAATACCCACTGATGTTTCTATTTCTGTACATTGTTTTTGTGTGGGTTCATCGCATGAACAACATGACTGAAATGTGTTAGAATGTCAACATTGAACTTTTACGACAAGTAGGACACATTCTGCAATGTCAGTTTCAGGATGTTTGCTCTTCAATGTCGTAAAAATTAGAATCTATTGGTCTAACTTTCACTTCATCTAATTTAGGTCTCATATTTAGAAAAGCAAAACGAAACGAAAATGTCCCCTGTCTCATTGAGTCAAGTCTAGTGGCCAGTTGTGTGTTTTTACCCGTCATTTGGGACAAAAATCCATCACCCTTTGGTTTGATCAATTTAAATATGTTGACTCAACCTTGTGGAAGCAGACGAATCGAGTAACCAAAACATGTTGAAATTACAGGGTTAAGTCCCGTTAAGTGCTTTCAACTTTAAACATTTTTTTTTAAATTTAAAAGATAATTTTTTGCATCAGTTAATAAACCGTTAAATAAATTGAACTTTAAAAAAAAATATCGACCCAGCAAAATCTTAAAATAAATTCAGCCATTATTACATTAACTTGTAGGCCTAAAAAAAAAAAAAGAATTGTCTCATTTTGTAGCCTCAACGTTTGTTACCAGGCCTCTGTTATTTAACTATTGAGGACCAAAAGTTACTGAAATCAGCACAGGCATTGGTACTGAGGTCTCTGACACGTAGGCTACTAATTAAAACGCAAAATATAGGCCCAAAAATGTTTATATATAATATTCTAATACTGTTACTAAGCAATCAGTTGAATTGTTATTGGCTTTATCTTTACCATTTGAAGTGTCATATCATTTGTGATAATGTTTTAGCGTACTGTAACATTAAAATATTATTTATAGCCTTTTATTTTATATAATTTTTTATACACTGATTTCCTCATGAAATGTTGCTCATGTTTTATTTATTTTAGTTAATAATTGCATAATTCAGTAAGTAATAATTAATATTTTTTGTTTAAAATTGTGACATTTTTACTGCACAGATTTATAAATATATTTCCGCTCACATTTTTTATTTTAAATGTGTTTTTTCTATTGTATAATAAAGCTATTAATTTATGAATAGACCTCATTAACTAAAGCAAACATGTTAAATAATATTTTCAATCTAATATATAAAGCTCAGTTCTGTAACGTGTGGCAAAAAAGTTTGTCGTTGACAGTTCTATGGATTTAAGTGTTAGATTTTTTATCGTGCTCATAGTCTAAATTTACGAGTCAAAAAATTACCATTGAAAGTCTTTAAAAACAATTTTCATTCTATTTACTTAGAAGAATAATTTTCAATTATGAACACGACATAAAATTTTTAAAAAAGTGTATCGACGTTTATAAAATTTCTAAAATTGTGTCAGAAATGTATTGACTGCACAGTTACTTCCCTTTAATAAAAAAAAAATTCTTAAGAAGAAAGAATTTACATTTTATTACTTTGTTTTTGGTGTTAAGAAAAAAAAATAATTACATAATTAGCGGGGATTGATTAAGTGCAATGTCGTTATGTATTTTTAACACTGCCTTTTATTTATTCTATACACTGAACAAACTGTTCAATATTTTTTTTTTAAATCAATAACATTTAATAAGCCAGGTCCTACAAATCCTATATGTTTATTTCTTTCCATTTACGGATAAGCTTGGAGTATTATCATTTTTGTTCACTAAATTGAAACAGGCGCGTCCGCCGGCGCCCTTGCACGGTTCGATTTGGCACCCTGGGCTATCATGTGAGCGCTATGCTGCATAGTTTTGTTTTTAACAGTGCGATAGACTATGGGTAAGAAAGGTTACTATAGTCTTTAAGTGAATCAAATCCGGGCGTCCTCCGGCACCCCGACAGGGTGCTATTTGGCGCCCCGGGCCTTCCGGTGTACGCTATGGTATATACGTTCGCGTGAGTTCAAAAGACTATGAATAAGTTATGTACTATAGTCGTTTACTAAGTTCAATCAGGCGGTGACGTCATGGTGCGTCCTCTGGCGCCCAGACTGGGTGCTATTTGGGGTCCCGGGCCTCCCGTGTTCGGTTTCGCGCCTACGTTCATTAAAGTGAGTGCAAAAGACTATGAATAAGTTGGGGTACTATAGTCGTTTATTAAGCTGAAACAGGCGATTCCGCCCCGGGTTAGACTCTGAGCACTGTGCGTTTATGTTCGCGTTAGTGTTTTCTTTGTGTTTAGGTTGGGTTTGCGTTAGTGGTTGCGTTTTGATTTGGTTCGTTTTTGTTCTTTCTTTTTTCGTTTTCGTTTGTGTTTTATTTTCTTTGCGTTTGTGTTTGTATTTGTGTTTGTGGTTGGTTTTGCGTTTGTATTTGGTTTGTTTTCGTTTGTTTTTTCGTTTGTGTTTTTTTCTTTGGGTTTGTGGTTGGTTTTGCATTTGGATTTGGTTTGTTTTCGTTTGCTTTTTCGTTTGTTTTTTTCTTTGTGTTCGTATTGGTGTTTGTGGTTGTGGTTGGGTTAGTTGTTAGGTTTTTGTTTTCGTTTGTATTTGTAATTGTGTTAGCGTTATGTTTGCGTTTTGTTGTTTTGGTTTTGGTTTCTGTGTGCAATGCCGGGTTTATGATGATTACTAAACACACAGGTAATGGTCTTTAACAGAAAGGTTTTTCACAGAAGCCAGAGCAGGGCCTGGCCGGGACGGCTAGTGATCAAATAAGTAAGGTGGGTCAGAACGTAACATGTTGAAAAAATCTAACAAAAACAACATTGCACCAATGAAATATTTCGGTCATTATTGAATTTGAAAAATTAACACATCCCTGTCTTATAAAGTTCCTTTCATTACCTGATGTCTAGTAGGTTTACTATTTTTAGAACTTTTAAAATTTAAATATTGGCTTTAATAAGGTATTCTCTTGATACTAAAATATGACTAAAAGACTTATAATAATATTATTTAATAATATATAGTATGTGGCAGACATTTTGTGAAAAGTATTTCTAATCAGAAATTTATTGTAACTTTTTGTAAATGCTTTGAATAAAGAATATAGACCTCTGGGTTAATGAATAATATCTAAACATACTTTTTGAATGATGTATTTTTGTTTTATTAAATAATTTAACAGCAATAAAAGATAAAACAATACTTATTCCTGTAAATTCATATACAAAATATATTTTTTAATATTAAGCTTACAAGTATACTTAAATGCTTATTTTCAATTTACAAAACTAAATCAGTCAACATTTTGATTAAAAACTCGATCTCTATCTTTCATTGATATCTAAACTTAGCAGCTAATCTTTTTGTTGAAATTATTTTTATGTTTGTGGAAGAAATTAAAGCATTTAATTATCAACAAAAACAAATTCCTCAACAATTAAAATTTTTAGAATATTTCAAAGCACCTAAATAGCATCAAAAAATAATATTAGTGTATGCATGTTTATGAATTTGTTTACAAAGGATTGTGATAACTGATACATTTGTTTTAAATTATTGTTGTCATATTTGCATTTGTTGCATAACTCTTATAATTGTGAAATAAAAAATTATCAATATTAAAGAATTTATTTGAAGTGCAGACTACTCTTTTTATATAAAACCACTTTTGTAATTTATTGGATGTAATATACTTTATCAGATTTAATATCTGATGAATTAATTGAATAATGAAAGTTGTTTGTTTTTAAAAACTAGTTTCAGAAGTTTTATTGAGTAGTCACAGTCGCATCACAAGATTTTAGAAGGAGTGTTGTGTGGAGCCTCACATATTGTAGAAACCAGGCTGGTAGTTACAAATTAATTTCATTACAAGAGCTGTTTAACTGACCACTACTCTTCAGTTACTCTTTTCATTAACATTTTCAACCAAAATGAAATCTCTTTTTGACATATTTGAATTAAAGCAAAAATAGAACACAGCTAAAATTTGCTTTGAAATACATAAAAAACACTAAAAGTTATTGATTAAAATATCACCATGGTCTGTTTTCAGCATTTTGGATTTATTTTTATGGATGTTAAAAGCATTTTCTTAATTCAGTTATATTTTTATCAACTGAAGGGTATGAATAAAATATTGCACAACACCAACTGTAATTTTTAGACCAAACATTTAAGTTTATGGTATTAGGAAAGTTGTAGCATTTCCACAAACACAAAATATCCACATCTTAAGGAAATAATACACTACAAATTGATTATTTTTATTACCAAAAATTAATCTTGTTTACATGGCTAAACAAAATATTAATTTACATTGTTTTCTTTTTTAAAGTGTTGTGGGTAACAAGTTTAGTAAACAATATAAGGCTGAAAATAAATATTTTAACATTTGATATGTAGGGGGAAAAAAAACAAAAAATACTTACAATGCAACAAGTTGTATATACTTTATTTATAAAATTATAATACAAAAATACAAAGAGAATAACTTATCAAAATTTATGTAACATATATATTTTCCTTTCAACAAAATTGTACATAACAAGTCATGGACGGATGGTAAAATTAATTTGTCTTTGTAACACTAAACTGCACATTGCTTGTCTGTCCTTGCATTCAAAGAAATCTATTTTTAGCTCAGTTCTTTCTCCTTGTCTAAACTGAGTTCTTCAATGAAAGAGATTTGTTCAGCTGAGGATTTTAGCAAGTTGAAATAGGTTGCCGTTAGGGGTAATTTTTACATTGATCTAATGTATTCTTTCCTTAAAGGTAAACTCGATGCTTGACTCGTGGTTAAACAAAATAAATGTCAAAATTCCCTTGTTGTATGCAGACCTCTAGTGGTTAAACAAAATAAATGTCAAAATTCCCCTGCTGTATGCAGACCTCTAGTGGTTAAACAAAATAAATGTCAAAATTCCCCTGTTGTACACAGACCTGGGCTTCCTGCATGATTCGCAGCCGTGGCCCCATGGGGATCCCGATGCTCTGCAGCCTGTCCTCAGTCATGTACGGGAGTTCTATCATACCTACGTGCTCACTCTCAAAGTTCTTTAGGTACTTCTAGAAAAAGTAAAATTAAAAGAATCCTTTGTAAGGTAACATAAAAAAATAGATAAATAGATTGCAAACAAACCAAAATATTTAATATTTCCTCATCATATCTTTTCTTATTTTTCTAACAATTGCAATTACCATGAACTAAAATGTGAATTTGTCTTACCCAACACAGAGTATAATTGCTCTCACCTCATAGCCAAGTTTTTTAAGGAAAAGTTCCAGCAAAGGAGGCTCCTGTCCAAAAAATCTGCAGAAAAATTAAAATGCTTGAAATTTTAAAATCGGTAACAATAAAACTAAGGAATTTTTAAATTAGTGATTATATAACTGGTGATTATAAAACTGAAGATTTTAAATTGGTGATGATAAAATCAAAGATTATAAAATTGGTGCTGATAAAAATGAAGATTCGGTGACTATAAAATGAGTGATTGTAAAATTGGTGAATATAAAATTGAAGATTCTAAAAGCGGTAATTTTAAAATTTTAAACATTGATGATTATAAAACTTGATAGTAAAATTAAAATTATAATATTATTGATTTATGGAATGAATGATTATTTAAAATTGTTATTATGGCAACTTGAATGGGATGACAGATATTTTTGTAGTAAAACTAAACTTTAAATGCTTGCTTAACTTAAAACAAGTTGAAAAAATATATAAGGTGTTGACCACTGAAAAATGAAATTATTAGATCAATTTTCTAACGCTCCTCTTGTTGACTACTTGCTTAGCCAAAAAGTTGTTGGTGAAACTAATGAGCAAAACTTGTGCTGTCAAATTACAAAATAAATTACTGATATAAAAGTATTTCAAATATTTCATTTTAATAATAAACAATGCCTTACTGCGTGAGTTTTCCGACACGTCTTGGGTTGGCAAAGAAGGGAGACCAGTACCGATATTTCTCCCCCTCCGTCAGGTACCTGCTACTGCCAGAGTTGTGTGGGGTGGGCTGATTTTGTTTCTCTAGCCTCAGCTCAGAGATCTCTCGCTTGACGTTCTCAATCTCCCTGGTCATGAGGCCCTGGGTCCTCAGCTCCGATGACAGGTGGGCCACGCTCCTTGCTAGCGTGATCACATGGGACTCCAACCTTTGGAACCGCTTGCCTATTGCTCTGTTGTGTTTTTATTTTTATAAAACTTTTATATTGGAGGTTTTATATTGGAGGTTTTTTAAACCCAAAAAAAATGAAACATATTATCTCACTAAATACAACTCATTTTACTATTAATTAGCTTCATCATAAACATAAAAGTAAAAGCTGACAGGAAATGTAGTCTACATGCATTTTCAGGACACTGGCATTGCTTAAAAACTGACCTGACATCACTAGAATACTGACATCACTAGGCCACTGACCTGACATCACTAGGCCACTGACACGACATCACTAGGACACTGACCTGACATCACTAGGACACTGACATCACTAGGCCACTGACCTGACATCACTAGGCCACTGACACGACATCACTAGGACACTGACCTGACATCACTAGGACACTGACATCACTAGGACACTGACCTGACATCACTAGGACACTGACCTGACATCACTAGGACACTGACCTGACATCACTAGGACACTGACATCACTAGGACACTAACATCACTAGGACACTGACATCTCTAGGACACTGACCTGACATCACTAGGACACTGACATCACTAGGACACTGACCTGACATCACTAGGACACTGACATCACTAGGACACTGACCTGACATCACTAGGACACTGACATCACTAGGACACTGACCTGACATCACTAGGACACTGACATCACTAGGCCACTGACCTGACATCACTAGAATACTGACATTGCTAGGACACTGACCTGACATCACTAGGACACTGACATCACTAGGACACTGACCTGACATCACTAGGACACTGACCTGACATCACTAGGACACTGACCTGACATCACTAGGACACTGACATCACTAGGCCACTGACCTGACATCACTAGAATACTGACATTGCTAGGACACTGACCTGACATCACTACAATACTGATATTGCTAGGACACTGACCTGACATCACTAGGACACTGACCTGACATCCTTGCTGCCTATCCTGTGACTGGATGCCCTGCTATGCCTGCTCTGCCGTGTGGGCTGCCTTAAAGAACTGGTGTCTGAGCTGCCAATGCTCCAGCGCCTCCTGGTCCTGACACCACTGTGTGCGTTCTCCTCTAGAGTCTTCATCACGTGTGAGTACATCCCCTCCAGCCTGCACACACACATGGGAGTGTATCGGGAAAACTATACATCACTATCCATAAATGACCTCAGGCTACATTTATACCTCTACCCAGGGTCACACATTGTCACAAAAAGTCAGACCACACCCCTAAAATGACGTAACACCTCAGCATTCAACCCACCCTCAACATTGCAGTTTAATTTTTTTAACATTAATTTCTAATATATTGATTGAACTTTGGAACTTTGTCAAAAACACAAAATAATGGCTTTTAACATTATTTTATTAAAATGCAGCAGAGTGACATCACACTTTCTGCCCTCCTTCTCATCACAAAATTCAAAATACTCACCCCCCACCCCTCTTTTCCACAAGAGTGTGACGTCATTTTCATTTATGGTAACGCAGACCAATAAAATGTGTTTTTATTTATTAAATTGTCTAGTTCAGGTCCCTAGCTTGAGTTAAAACTCTGAACAATGCGGGTCACTTCCGTAAGCTTGTTCTTTACCATTGGGGAGGGGGGGGGGGGGTCACCTATCCGACCCAGTTCTCTGACATGAAGAGTCACCTCTCTGACAGATCCCTGATGTGAAGTTACCTGCTTAGCTGTGCCCTGACTGAGCTCCCCTTGTATGACCTCAGTGTCCCTAGTTCTGATTGGTCAGAAGGTTCCACTGTCAACACCGTGTTCTCTATATCAAATGATATCGTGCTTTCATTGCCTGACTCTCTCACATCCTCCAAGCTGCGGCTGCGTGCTGGTGACAGAATCAAATCATTGGTTCACATTTTATGGTTTCAGTTGGATATTTTATGCTAGAAATACATCTTATTCAAAACATAATTCTTTGTTTAATTTGTAATTTTTCTTAATTAACGACATGTTAAGTAGCTTTCTGTCATATTGTCCTGTAGCCTGGACAAAGTCTATGGAAAAAATCCAAAAAGGAAAGCAGGCTGAAATCAAAGTCTATATGGCACATAAGTTGGCATGTGATACTCAATTGTGTTGGAGGAAATTCCATCCAATATTACCATTAAGAACGAAGAAGAAGAGGAGTTTGTAGTTTACACTATCCCATCCTTATCTTTTACTATTGTTTTTTATTAAGGCCATATTTTTATTAAGGCCAGAAATTTACTGTTCACCGCAAACATTATCTTTTGGAATGTCTAATTATACAAAATCTTGATTTACAATTTATTAGTCCAAATTAAAATGCTATAATTTAAAAAGAATATTGTATATACAGGGAAAGGAATATAAAAATATTGCCATAGCTAAAGTATAAAGAACGTATAAGAAAGTTTTATTCCTTATCACCACAGGACAACCAAATGAACTGTAAGAAACCTACTGTATTCAGATAGCAGTTGTTTCCCTTTAGCTTTTATAGGCAATCCACTTTTCTGTAGAAAGTCTTTATCTTCTTGATGTTGGTATTTAAACTGAGATAAATGTTCTTTGTTTTCATTGTTCCTTAAAGTTACCCCAGTCTTTAGAGGGTTTTGTGATCCACTTCTCAACAGATCTGGAGTTTTTGGGGGAGATTTTTGTACATCAGTCTGTTTGGGTAGGTAGTTGAACCTGGGAGTTGAACTGTTTGACCCACGAGGGGTCAAGTTTGGAGACAGAGGCTGTAGAGGTGGGGTCTCTGAGCCATCTTGGCTGATGGCATCAGGGTAATCAAAGATACTGTCCAGGGGTTGGAGGGTGTAATCATCGCCCAGGTCATCTTCGCTGTCTAAGAAGTTGGTGCCTTTAGTATGCAACCTGGACATAGGCCGAGGGGGTTTGTCTCCCACGTTGAACTCTATGGTGTCAAATGAATTTGTGGATTCACTGCGATGTTGTCGTAAACTTAACGGAAATTGAGGTGAAGGGATATTATGTCTGTGATGTTGGTTGTTTTGTGGGAGTGGGGTTACTGACCCTGATGACCTTCTTGACATGGTGCTTTCTGGGTACTTGGCTGCTGGGCCAATCGCAGGCTCCGATGTAACAGCTGGCTTGTCTTTCTCTGGTTTAAAAGTACTAAGATTTCTATTGGCTGATGGGTATGAGCTGAGGTGTGAGGAGGTGTTGATGGCAAGCTGGTCAGGGTGGGTGGGGCTCTGACCAGTGGGGCTCTCCCTGCCCTGGACAATGTGATGCTGGGTTAGTGAGTGGGTGCTGCCGTAGGGGAACTCACTCTTGCTGATGGTGTTGTGGGTTGAGGCAGGGGCTTTGCTTGCTGTAAGTGAACCAATGCTAGGTCTCCTGACATTGTTGGCAGCACCGGGCACTGTACTGGCTGGTCTCACATTGTGTTGAGATGTAACAGTGTTGCTGATTGGATGGTTGGGGTGATATGTCAGATGTTGACTCTGTGAATCAAAACAAAATAATGTTGTATTCAACATATGCTTCAGTAGTCTAAATAATTTGTCAGAGCAAAATAATAAAATATGATCTAGGTTAAAATATACATATTGATTTTTAAAAACAAACTAATAAAATCATTTTTAAATCTAATTAGATTTATTATTTTTAAAATAAAAGTTATTTTAATAGTTTTTTTAAGAATGCCAAAAACGAAATAAATTAAAATTAGTTAATTTAAACATGTTTGTAATTGTTACTCGCTAAATTGTAGGCCAAGGGACGTAACTATGATTATTCAATTTACTTTTTAAGTATATACAGAGTTGCCTTTCTTTATTTTTATTTTCTTTGTTCATTTTTAGAAAAAAACTATTTAATTTTAATCTATATTGAATATATTCCTTCTGATTAATCTAATTTTAGCTTAATGTACTAACATTTGACACCAGCCCGTTCTGAAATGTTGGGTTGTCTTCAACTGTTGGTGTCCTGCGATTATTGCTTCGATCCTCCACAAGTGAATGGTTTAATGACTGCCTCTCCTCCCTAGCTGAATGGTTTAATGACTGCCTGTCCTCCCTAGCTGAATGGCTAGAAGGTTCTTGCATGTAAAGTTTCTGCCAGGCATTGCGCAGTTCATAGCTTGTTGTAGTGGGGCTGAAAAATAGGAAACAAATTTGAACAAAGTGTTTTAGTTAAAACTCGAGTTATTTTCAACTCACAATATAATTAAATTTACTTGAAGAAGATAAATGTAGAGCTTTGTTAATATTACTTTGTTTAGATACAATGTAATTAATTACTCTTTTTGTTTTTGTCCCTCGTTGTCAGGCATAAATGCCAGATTATCCATTCCACGAGTTATCAGGTGCCCATTCTCATTGGTGTATGATGGTGTTGATTGATGTTGTGATGTTGTTGGCTGATGATGTGATGTTGGCTGATGATGTGATGTTGCTGACTGATGATGTGATGTTGTTGGCTGATGTTGTGACGTTGGCTGATGTGATGTTGAAAATGGATGTGATGTTGCTGACTGATGTATTGAAGTTGATTGATGTTGTGATGTTGTAAAAAGCTTGTGTGATGCTGTTTGTTGATGTGATGGTGCTGGCTGATGCTGTGATGTTGGTGAATGATGTGATGCTGGTGACTGATGTGCAGATGTTGCTGACTGTGGCTGTAATCTCATGGGTTGCCTATTGTCAAATCTTGCGCCAACTCGGTTGTCATAGACAGACTGAAAGAAAAGGTGTTGTCAACATACATTAATGTCCATTAAATACAGAAAGAAATAATTTTAAATTACAAGTACAGGGTAATTTTAGAGCTGAAGATTTAGAGGGTGAAGATTCGAAGTGCCGAGATTTAGATGGCTAAAATTTAAAGTTCAACGGTTAAAAGTTCAAGATTTAGAGGGTCAAGATTGACCTCCAGAGCTCAAGGGTAACCATGGTCACATGTAATAATAGCTCTAAGGTGCATTTTTGGACAGGCTTACTGTGAGTCCGTTAAGTATGTTTGCCCTGTTGTAAGCCTCAGCTTGACCAGTGGTCACCTGAGTCTGTAGTCTGGCATCGTAGGAGGCTTGAGTGTTGATTGGTGTAGATCTGTCGTCAGCCTGGATAGATCAAGTTATAACAACATCACACCACACGCTTGAACCTGAACTTTAGCTATACCCATTAGTTTTTAGCTATACCCTGTGTTTCTTCCAGACTTTTTTCTCCGGGGGGGGCACTTGAAATTTTCGGGGGGGGGGGGGGTGATAGACTTTCTTCGGGGGGGGGGGGGGGGCGGACACTGTTAAAAGTATATATTTTCTATATAAATTACATAAATTTCATATCGTTCGGGGGGGGGGGGGGCGGTAAACATTTTTCCGGGGGGGGGGGATTGACCCCCCCCCCCCCCGAAGAGGTGCCTGGAAGAAACTCTGGCTATACCAAGTATTTTGTGCTTTAGCTCTGTGAATGAAAAAAGAGCTACCACTCGAGGGAGGGGACATTATTTTAGAAGTGAATGTCCTACGTATGTGTCGGCTGTGTTAGCGCGCACATGGGCTATTATATATTAGGATAGTTAGCCTCAGTTTTGTCAAATATATAGTGTTGAACCAACTAATCAAAGACGACTCAGGACACTCACTGAGACCCTCCTGGCGCCACCCTCAGCTCGTTGATTGGGCGGTGTCCACGTGACCCCCATCGACGATGGTGGTCGATCTGTGTAGCCATGTTTGTTGTGACTCGGTGACGTCATCGCCATGGCGCTCTGGGGTCGCACTGTTGAGACTGGTTTCTGCGGCTGCGCTGGGGGGCGGTATGACGTCAGGGTGCTTACGTCACCATTATGCTTGTCGTCAGTTGAGTGTTGGTGCTTGAAGCCATTGTTGTTTGGTACTGTGGACTAAGAAAAGAGAAGTTCTAAGTCAGACCGGTTGCCATAGAAACGTATTAGCAGTATTAGATCAATGTTTACTTATGAAGGTACACACTAGCCTGCTGTCTAAACTAAATCTTTACGTCGCCATTGGCAACTCCAATGGATTTGGTTTAGAGATTAAGGTCGTGCTAAAGGTTAGTCTATTCACGTGATTGTACTGTGGATAACCTTGAGATACACAGCTTTGATTCATCATCTAGAATCTAGAAATGTGTTACACAACTAAAATAAAAAAATCTTTAAATAAAAAGCGTGTGTTGAATGTTACAAACAAATCAGATTGTGACTTGTATATCGTGATCCCTTGTGGCTAACACAAGTAGAAACGTCGAGAAAATGTGCGACACGGAAATAATTGAACCACATCTTTAACTAGTTCAACCATGAAACCACATCTATAAATAGTTCAACCATGAAACCACATCTATAAATAGTTTAACCATGAAACCACATCTATAAATAGTTCAACCATGAAACCGCATCTATAAATAGTTCAACCATGAAACCACATCTATAAATAGTTTAACCATGAAACCACATCTATAAATAGTTGAACCATGAAACCACATATATAAATAATTGAACCATGAAACCACGTTTAAAAATAGTTGAACCATGAAATCACATCTATAAATAATTGAACCATGAAACGACATCTATAATTAATTGAACCATGAAACCACATCTATAAATAGTTGAACCATGAAACCGCGTTTATAAATAGTTGAACCATGAAACCACTGTAACCAAATCTATAAATAATTGAACTATGAAATTATGTCTATAAATTATAAAAAGTTGAACCATCAAACCACGTTTATAAATAGTTGAACCAAGAAACCACCCCCCAACTCCCACCCACAGACAACGATAGTTGTAGGCTATTTATTACAATTACGTATTGTAGCAACTACCTTAACATTGATGCTAAACGACGTAACCTAATACAATAAAAACATATAAACTGCTGCACACAGCCCCTAGCACTAGGTTATCGACATAAAACCAAAGGGTTGGGTTGGGTTAGGGTTTGGTTAAAACTCCGCCTCACCGAGTATCGTAAGCTGCCCGTGTCCCTGTAGACGTCCACTCTATCGGTGAGGCCTGGTGGCGGCTGGCTGGCGTCGCTCCTGTGAAACTGTTGGGTGCTCCGGCGTACGGCAGGCACTGGGCGATCTGTCAACAGAGGAATCGTATCGGTCAAACGTCTGTCAACAGAGGAATCGTATCGGTCAAACGTCTGTCAACAGAGGAATCGTATCGGTCAAACGTCTGTCAACAGAGGAATCGTATCTGTCAAACGTCTGCCAACACGACTGGCTCATCTGTTAACACAAATCTCATCTGTCAACACACCAATCTCATCTGTCAACATACCAATCTCATCTGTCAACATACCAATCTCATCTGTCAACACACCAATCTCATCTGTCAACATACCAATCTCATCTGTCAACACACCAATCTCATCTGTCAACACACCAATCTTATCTGTCAACACACCAATCTCATATGTCAACACACCAATCTCATCTGTCAACACACCAATCTCATCTGTCAACACACCAATCTCATCTGTCAACACACCGATCTCATCTGTCAACACACCAATCTCATCTGTCAACACACCGATCTCATCTGTCAACACACCAATCTCATCTGTCAACACACCAATCTCATCTGTCAACACACCAATCTCATCTGTCAACACATCAATCTCATCTGTCAACACACCAATCTCATCTGTCAACACACCAATCTCATCTGTCAACACACCAATCTCATCTGTCAACACACCGATCTCATCTGTCAACACACCGATCTCATCTGTCAACACACCAATCTCATCTGTCAACACACCAATCTCATCTGTCAACACACCAATCTCATCTGTCAACACACCAATCTCATCTGTCAACACACCAATCTCATCTGTCAACACACCAATCTCATCTGTCAACACACCAATCTCTAATTTACTTGAACTTATGCCTTTGGACCAACTCTTAACAGAAATATTTAAATAATCGCTTGCTGGTAGGGCTTAATCCGTATTCTAATTGTCTAGAGGTCTATACACTGTCTATCATGGAATTTTACACACCATAGAAACATACACACCATGGGATTATACACACTATAGGAACATACACACTAGGGGATTATACACACTATAGGAACATACACACTGGGGGATTATACACACTATAGGAACATACACACTAGGGGTTTTTACATACTAAAGGAACATACACACTGGGGGATTATACACACTATAGGAACATACACACTAGGGGATTTTACACACTATAGGAACATACACACTAGGGGTTTTTACATACTATAGGAACATACACACTGGGGGATTATACACACTGTAGGAACATACACACCATGGGATTATACACGTTTTAGGAACATACACACCATGGGATTATACACACTATAGGAACATACACACTAGGGGATTTTACACACTATAGGAACATACACACTAGGGGATTTTACACACTATAGGAACATACACACTAGGGGTTTTTACATACTATAGGAACATACACACTGGGGGATTATACACACTGTAGGAACATACACACCATGGGATTATACACGTTTTAGGAACATACACACCATGGGATTATACACACTATAGGAACATACACACTAGGGGATTTTACACACTATAGGAACATACACACTAGGGGATTTTACACACTATAGGAACATACACACTATGGGATTTTACACACTATAGGAACATACACACTAGGGGATTATACACACTGTAGGAACATACATATTATGGGATTATACACACTGTAGGAACATACACATTATGGGATTATACAAACTGTATTAACATACACACTGTAGGAACATGCACACTGTAGGAACATACACACTGTAGGAACATACACACACCAGGTGGTAAAACAGGACAGAATTCACGGCTGTTTAAAGGTCAAGTTCATTTACATAAGTAATTGCAAGTATGTGTTCTAATGAGGGTCATGCTGACCTAGGTCACGGTTACCCAGTAGGGTAAGACAGAATTAGCCGGACATATGATATATGACACGATCTAACAATGTTAGCCTACATCACTACATAGGTTGTGTAAGCTATCAACAACACATTACAACCAAATCTGACGAATTGAAAGTATTCTTACTCTCTAACTACATTTAACATTAAATATTCAATTTTTATTTTACTAATAAAATATTAGTTTAAAAAAATAATTTAAAATACATATAGATCTACAGTTTTAGAGCAGAGGGTCCATGGTGCAGAAGAAGTTGAGTTCTTTTGTTTCTTTTACTTAGGTGTTGCTACTTTATCTGGCTACCTTACTTCAAGCCACTTGCAAGCGACGCACTCCGTACACCCTAAACCTAAATAAATACTCTACTCTTTTGTCATCTGGCGCGCTACTGTTCGACTGGAGCTCTTTCAATATTATTGTTGGGAAAAAGTTTTGAAAATTGAAGTTGGCTAAAACTGTCCTAGTTAATTTGTGCTTAAGCTAGACTACATATATATAGATAGACTTGACCCAGACAGACGACAGACTTCACGTACAAAATAGACTAAGACGACCTAGACTAGACATAAACTAGACCAGTGTTTCTTCCAGACATGTCTTCAGGGGGGAGGGGGGGGGACGACTAAATGGAACTTAAATAGAAAATACATACGTTTAACAGTGTCGTCGTCCCCCCCCCCCCCCCCGGAGAAAAAAGTCTTGACTAAACATAAACTTGACCTTGACTAGACTAGACTGACTAGACATAAACTCGACTTAAACTTGATCTAGACTAAACTTAAACTCGACTTAATATTTAACCTAGACTAGACCACATAGACCTACCTTGTTGAGCTAGGACCTGTGGTCCAGGACTAGCATGTCCACTACTGGCTATCCTGCCTGGCATTCTGTCTGTGTGTTACCTGGTCAACATCCGGTCACTCCATTAGTCCACCCTGTCCGTGTGTGCATGTAATCGATGATACGGTCACATCGATCAGCTTGACCTGTCAAATTAAACCATCTTGTTTAGTTAGATTGACATGACACACACAAAAAGTAAAAAAAAAAAGAATATAAAGACAAGCAACTATATCTTTAATCTGACAACATCACGTATGGTCTCCCGTAAAGCCTAATGTCATATATCACGTGTATAGCACCAATTTCTAATGAATAAGCCTAGATATTTTACAGGAGAAATGTTGCTGTTATACATGTATCTATTTATTCTATTTAGTCATGACTCATGAGAGAAAACTGTAAGAGAAAATCATTTAAGATTGTTTCGAGACTTCTATCTTACATAGCTTTGTGCGTCTTTTTAAATATCTGAGTACAACTTATTTGCTAAGACCAGCGGTGTCCTGTATATTCACTGAACTAAGTCATCTCGCATTCAACACTACATTATTCAGCCTGATATCAACGGACTTATGAATTATGACATTACTTTTGTATGAATCGTATTCATCATGACATAAAAACAAGTTTTTTAATTCAGCTCGATATCAACTGACTTATGAATTATGACATTACTTTTGTGTGTGAATTTGCATGGGTCAGTACCTCGGCGGTGTGAAGATCTGTGAACAGGTTTATGTGTAGGTGTATGGTGGGGGGGGGGGGGGGTGGTAAGCTTATACAGAAAAAATATCAAAACTACTTAAAATGAATGTACACCTATCAGCATGTATTGAAGGACGGAGTTAGAACTGAATGGAAGATTTATAAGCGTCTGTCTAGAACAGGTGTCGCCACTTGAAGACACGACGCTCTAACATACACACGGATAAAACACTTTTATAAACGTTTTTATACAATTTATCAGTGAATTATATTCACGCCGTGTTTTTATATACATAAAATTTAACACCTGTTTTATAGCAGATAGTTTAAAATTTACCACCCGTTGTAAAAGAATGGGAATTTTAGAACCCGTTTTAAAATGTACACTCTTTTAGTTTATCATTTAGTTTTTATAACTGTTTAATCAAAATTTACTGCATGCACTGAATAATATCTTAGTTTTTAAAATTTACTATAGTTTTGATTGAGAAGTGCATGAAGATTACTCAATGCAGTTACCTCCCTGTTTTACCTTATCACATTGACGAATGTGTGAGAAAATGGCAGCAAGGGAAATAACTCTATTGCAGCGATCCAAGGGGATTAGAGCCCTATTGTTGACAAGAACGAAAAACGTTTTTGACAATTTCAAATTAAGAGAAGTCTTAGGCTTTAACAAATTTATAAAAATGTGTTCAATAAAAATAAGAAATTTAATTTTAAAATGTGTGTAATAAAATGTGAAAATGTAGAGAACTTGGATTCATATTTAGTGTGTAGCCTGCATTATCACTCATTCCCATAGCAGTCTAAGTAATTTTCCAAATATTGCTGAATTACATAAATTACTAATAATGATAAATAGGCCTTCATCTAAAGTGTACATAAGTGACACAAATAAGGCTACAAAATCAGATTTTAAAAAACATCAAATATTTCGACAACACCGCTAAACATTTATTTTCAATAATCGAAGTCCGTTTAAGGTCGCAGTTGATTGCTTCGACCCGACACAAACACGAACGTAGCGTAAATTCTTGTACGAGACAAAAATAGCCGTCACGCCTCATTAAATAACGCGCGTGGTTGCTCTCCGTTCGTCTCGGTTCTTAGTGGACACACGTGACCTACCATACCAGAGGTCCTGTGCTGGAACCGTTGTGACGAATCCAGTCACGCCTGACCGGTTCTAGAGTTAGTCACGTCTCATCTAGCGGTGCATTCAACTCATTCAGGTGCTGGCCTGGGTTGTGTTTGTTGTTCTGGGTTGTGTTTGTTGTTGGCCTAAGTTGTGTTTGTTGTTGTTCTGGGTTGTGTTTGTTGGCCAGGGTTGTGTTTGTTGTTGGCCTAAGTTGTGTTTGTTGTTGGCCTGGGTTGTGTTTGTTGGCCAGGGTTGTGTTTGTTGTTGGCCTAAGTTGTGTTTGTTGTTGGCCTGGGTTGTGTTTGTTGTTGGCCTGGGTTGTGTTTGTTGTTGGCCTGGGTTGTGTGTTGTTGGCCTGGGTTGTGTTTGTTGTTGGCCTGGGTTGTGTTTGTTGTTGGCCTGGGTTGTGTTTGTTGTTCTGGGTTGTGTTAGTTGGTCTGGGTTGTGTTTGTTGTTCTGGGTTGTGTTAGTTGGTCTGGGTTGTGTTTGTTGGTCTGGGTTGTGTTTGTTGTTGTTCTGGGGTGTGTTTCTTGGCCTGGGTTGTGTTTGTTGTTCTGGGGTGTGTTTGTTGTTCTGGGTTGGGTTATGTTTGTTGTTCTGGGTTGTGTTTGTTGTTCTGGGTTGTGTTTGTTGGCCTGGGTTGTGTTTGTTGTTCTGGGTTGTGTTTGTTGGCCTGGGTTGTGTTTGTTGGCCTAGGTTGGGTTTGTTGTTGTTCTGGTTTGTGTTTGTTGTTCTGGGTTGTGTTTGTTGGCCTAGGTTGGGTTTGTTGTTGTTCTGGTTTGTGTTTGTTGTTCTGGGTTGTGTTTGTTGCTCTGGGTTGTGTTTGTTGTTGTTCTGGTTTGTGTTTGTTGTTCTGGTTTGTGTTTGTTGGCCTGGGTTGTGTTTGTTGTTCTGGTTTGTGTTTGTTGGCCTGGGTTGTGTTTGTTGGCCTAGGATGGGTTTGTTGTTCTGGGTTGTGTTTGTTGCTCTGGGTTGTGTTTGTTGTTGTTCTGGTTTGTGTTTGTTGTTCTGGGTTGTGTTTGTTGGCCTAGGTTGGGTTTGTTGTTGTTCTGGTTTGTGTTTGTTGTTCTGGGTTGTGTTTGTTGTTCTGGGTTGTGTTTGTTGGCCTAAGTTGTGTTTGTTGTTGTTCTGGTTTGTGTTTGTTGTTCTGGGTTGTGTTTGTTGGCCTAAGTTGTGTTTGTTGTTGTTCTGGTTTGTGTTTGTTGTTCTGGGTTGTGTTTGTTGGCCTAAGTTGTGTTTGTTGGCCTAAGTTGTGTTTGTTGTTGTTCTGGTTTGTGTTTGTTGTTCTGGGTTGTGTTTGTTGGCCTAGGTTGGGTTTGGTGTTTCTGGGTTGTGTTTTTTGTTCTGGGTTGTGTTTGGTGTTCTGGGTTGTGTTTGTTGGACTGGGTTGTGTGTTGGTCTGGGTTGTGTTTGTTGTTGGCCTAGGTTGTGTTTGTTGTTCTGGGTTGTGTTTGGTGTTCTGGATTGTGTTTGTTGGACTGGGTTGTGTGTTGTTCTGGGTTGTGTTTGTTGGCCTGAGTTGTGTTTGTTGTTCTAAGTTGTGTTTGTTGTTCTGGGTTGTGTTTGTTGGTCTGGGTTATGTATGTTTGCCTGGTTTGTGTTTGTTGGCGAGGTTGTGTTTGTTGTTGGCACAAAAACTTCTATAACCAATCTCAGGCACTATGTTGAAGCTTATTTATGTCTATCTAGAAATTCATGTATTGTTTTTTGTGCGTCTATAAAATAGCAATTAAAAATTATTCAAAAAATAAAGTTTAAAACTAGGTCTTCTTCATACGTTGGTTCTATTAGTGGTGTTAAATTTACAACGTGCTAGATCACGTCATCAATCAGGTTCAGGTGAAGACATTTAAATTTATTTCTGGTGCCCTTTCCTTTAGAACGGCGAACTATTTTAAAGTGTAAAAATCCTATACAGCAGACCAATTAAAATTTAAATCGATCTCCTATAAAAAAATTATATCGATTATATCCGTGTAGTACAGAATGGCTCGATCAAGCGTGAAGCAAATGTAAGCGTACACGAGTAGCTAAATAAAGAGACAAGGTGTTTGGGGATAAAATAAATAGGTAGCTAAATAAAGGGGCGGGGTGTTTGGGGATAAAACAAATAGGTAGCTAAATAAAGGGTCGGGGTGTTTGGGGATAAAACAAATAGGTAGCTAAATAAAGGGGCGGGGTGTTTGGGGATAAAACAAATAGGTAGCTAAATAAAGGGGCGGGGTGTTTGGGGATAAAACAAATAGGTAGCTAAATAAAGGGGCGGGGTGTTTGGGGATAAAACAAATAGGTAGCTAAATAAAGGGGCGGGGTGTTTGGGGATAAAACAAATAGGTATCTAAATAAAGGGGCGGGGTGTTTGGGGATAAAACAGGTAGGTATCTAAATAAAGGGGCGGGGTGTTTGGGGATAAAACAAATAGGTAGCTAAATAAAGGGGTTGGGTGTTTGGAGATAAAACAAATAGGTAGCTAAATAAAGGGGCGGGGTGTTTGGAGATAAAACAAATAGGTAGCTAAATAAAGGGGCGGGGTGTTTGGGGATAAAACAAATAGGTAGCTAAATAAAGGGGCTGGGTGTTTGGAGATAAAACAAATAGGTAGCTAAATAAAGGGGCGGGGTGTTTGGGGATAAAACAAATAGGTAGCTAAATAAAGGGGTGGGGTGTTTGGGGATAAAACAAATAGGTAGCTAAATAAAGGGGCGGGATGTTTGGGGATAAAACAAATAGGTAGCTAAATAAAGGGGCGATTGTTTGGGGATAAAACAAATAGGTAGCTAAATAAAGGGGCTGGGTGTTTGGGGATAAAACAAATAGGTAGCTAAATAAAGGGGCGGGGTGTTTGGGGATAAAACAAATAGGTAGCTAAATAAAGGGGCGGGGTGTTTGGGGATAAAACAAATAGGTAGCTAAATAAAGGGGCCGGATGTTTGGGGATAAAACAAATAGGTAGCTACATAAAGGGGCGGGGTGTTTGGGGATGAAACAAATAGGTAGCTAAATAAAGGGGCGGGGTGTTTGAGGATAAAACAAATAGGTAGCTAAATAAAGGGGCGGGGTGTTTGGGGGTAAAACAAATAGGTAGCTAAATAAAGGGGCGGGGTGTTTGGGGATAAAACAAATAGGTAGCTAAATAAAGGGGCTGGGTGTTTGGGGATAAAACAAATAGGTAGCTAAATAAAGGGGCGGGGTGTTTGGAGATAAAACAAATAGGTAGCTAAATAAAGAGTGATAAAAGCAGAGGCGTCAATAGGTCGGGTGTCACCTGGTGCGGCACCTCATGATGTCACCCCCCCC